ACTGATTCTCATGGTGTTTTCCATACTCAATATTAACAATCTATATGATAGTGCAATGTCCTATCGTGTTTGCATCATAAAAATGTTTGGAAGGCTTTTTCTTTTGGGATGTGGGTGGGTGTGGGTGTGGGTATGGATGTGAGTGTGGGTGTGGGTATGGATGTGAGTGTGGGTGTGGGTATGGATGTGAGTGTGGGTGGTGGCATTGAGGAAGATAATAATACCCACATCCAACAGTCGAATACATCAACTAATCTTTTCGATTGTGATATATATTTTTTTTTAAATTTCAATATCAATTTAGAATAACATTTCTTTCTAACGATTGACTTTTTTTAAAACTCGATATTAATCTTTATTAAAGTCTTTTAAAACGATCATGATTCACAGTTTTTTTTAAGAAATTCTCTTATCTTAAACATTAAGAATAAATCAAAATTGTTTTCATATAGAAACTCATGAAAACCTATAATAAAACCATGAATGTGACAAGCTTAAAAAATAAAAATAATAATAAAATTCAATTAATATATTTCAATGACAGGAGAATTCGACTATACTAGGAAATAAATCTTCATCGAGTTTACCAAAATAAGTCTATGGAAAAATGAATAAAATATTTTCATTTTTTCCAATCATATTATTCATTATTTATTCAAGCAACGTTACGTGCACGTTACATCCATACACTAAACGACAATACAACTTACATTGAATATTAAACAATCATTTTTGTTCTAGTCAACTTGAGAAGTACGAATAGAATATTTTATTCAGAATAAACATATCTAGATTATATATATATAGATATTATTCAATTTGTTTTTATTTACCTATTTACTTCATTTCTAACATATTTTACTTAACATCTTTCCATATGACTATGAATATTTACAGCTCCAAACACAAACATTGATTTGATGGTTTTACTCAAATTTTTATCAGTCTCGTCATCATACAGACAATATGATTATGATATATTATGATCGAGCCGTTATTCTCATTAAGTTAACTAGTATATCATATAAATCATTCGAAAATAAATAGCTATTCTTATCTACACATAATAAACATATCGTTCTTTCTTTTATTCTACTTTCAAATTGAATTCATCGACGTTTTTTATTATGAAAATTTTTTTTTCTTTCGTTTTCTATTATTGTAAAAAACATATAGTTAAGAATTTTGATCGAACTCGAATTATTTCAAGAAAAAAAAAAATTATTTTTTCTTATTTTTACTAAAAAAAAACGTGAATAGGAGAAAATGATATAATCAAAAGAGAGAAAGAGATCTATATGAAAAATTTCAATCTACTCGATTATAATGAATATGTTCAATGAGAAAGATTCCCTAAACATTTATTCTTGTAGAATGGATCAATCATAAACGGAGTGCAATAGTCTAGAATTAAGCCATCATCACCTCTATCAACTGAATAATCACTGGAAAGTGTGACGAAAATATATATCGGATATATGTTACCGAATTAATGTCGATGAGATTGTTTAGCTATTCAATTAAATACCTTTTACAAGTTTATTCTAGTCAATAATTATATGAGTTACATGAAAGAAAAATAATATTTCATTTCACGATTTAAAAAAAAAGAAAAAACTTCTTGATAAAAATCGACGAGATTATAGAATATTTCGAAAGATTGATTCATTTTCAAAGTCGCATTTCGAAATAGGGAACGTATCATTTTCATCGTAAATTCTACGTATTATCGGAAACGAAAAATATTTTTTGTCGAACAAATATTTCATATGCACTCATATCAAAACCATTTTTAAAAAGAAAAAGAAAAAACTTTCAATAAAATCCATCGTTATTTAATTATCTTTAATGAAGTAATGACTAATTTTTCATCTTGATAATCGAAAATTATTTTCTATAGGTATTTTTTTTTCAATTAATAGAAGAGACCTAAGTTTGTCGTCTGATATGTTGCAATTGTTGATAAAAAGTTTTTCTTAATATGAATTTGGTGTTGTGTTCTAATAAGATATTCTTGCTTGATAATGTTGATGATAATTAATTCTCATTGAAGTTTTTCTTTAGTCATAAAAATGCGTTCATCAAATAGACTGATTCCTTGGGATAATCTTACTCTTATACAGTGACATTAGGAACAATTTCATAAGGAATAATTCTGATTGTTTTATCTGAAATATCTAATTGTGGTCAAGTTAACATCTCAAATAGACCATATTTGACTAGCTAAAAAACATTTATCAATATTTGTAAAAGATTAGAAAAGATATGTGTAATTAGAACGTTTCTTATAATCTTCTCTGATATGATCTCATTTTTTTATATATAAAAAATGAAAAAAAAAGTCAATGTAATTTTAATGGGATCTGCTTGATATACTTGAAAGAGATTCATGAGGATATATCGTTAAAGGGACGGACTATTTCTAGTGAGTTTTTCAAAATTAATCAGACTATTCTATTGCTAGATTCTTTCATTCTAAGATTAGTTTGGCGATTTCCAGAATGTTTTTATAAATAAGTGTTAATATAAGGAATGAATGACAATTTCGAATCTGTTAATAGTATTGACAGAGAAATAAAAAGGGTTAGTGCTTTCAATTTCAATCTATGCTTTGCGCCATAGAAAGATTAATACCGTTAAGAAAAATGTGTAATGTTGTTTGATATGACATTTACTTAAAAACAAAACACATGGATATTTGTTTTGGTTTGAAGTTCGATTTGATATATTGGAAAAGAGATTGATGATGGAGGAAAAATGAAATGAATTCTATAATTAAGTAATCGATTAAATAATTGTTGTTAAATATTGAAGTAATTGACTAAATCAATTGATTTGTTTATATTGAAAATAAATAAGTTTTAATATTTACTCGTAATTTAATAGCTCTATACATCAAAACAGTTTCAAGCTGAAAAGCATTTTGGAAAATTTTTCTAGCGCAGCACTTTCAGAAAAAGTTTTCACGTCTTTTAATATTTGAACATTTATTTTAATAAATCATTTTTTTCATATTTAGACAATAAAAAAAAGGTTATTTATTTTTCGAATCTAATCTTCGCTTCCAATTTACGAAGAACTTTTGTTTTTTTTTCTAGTTTATTTCATCAAATAAAAACTATTGATGAAACATTAGAATAAATGACTATATTCTTAATCATCATTTTAATAAATCTACGGTTAATTTATCTATATTGAAAAGTTTCAAATGTATAATAATAAATCTATTGTAGTTAAATATCACCAATTTAAACATATACTTTTACTTCTACATATTAATCTTTATAGATTTGCTTTTTCAAATGTGTTGTCATCGGTCAGATTATATAATTTGTTTAATTTAATTAATAATATCAGTCTGATATAAGTATGTATCTATAATTATATATTTGTATATGTGAACAATATTCTCCTCATAACGAGATATATCATTCGAGTCCTACCTATTTATATGTTGAAACTGGTAACTACTATGCTCATTAGTTCTTTCATTTTAATATGCCTTCATATATTTATATATATAGAAAATCTATTAAGATTTGTATAGATAATCATGATGAGTAACCCTAAAGTGAAGAGTTGTCGATTTGAATATGAAGGAAAAATAAAATCTAATAATTGTTTAAGTATGACTCTTTCAAGAATATTTACGTATCGTTTTCTTCTAAAAGGTTTTTATATTGGTGCACTCTCATTCTATTATTTAAACGATCGAATCTTTTCTATGTTATGATCGTTGTTTGAGATAGTTATTAACGAAGCCGATAAGTTCTAAAACAAACATGTGGGTGTGGGTGTGGGTGTGACTGAGCATCAACAGATTACTAACACCCACACCCAGAAAGGAAAGAAAAAAAAATCCATCGTAACGAGTCTATTCGATAGCAAATCGTTGCACTCGATCATTATCTCGATCGACGACATAGAGATTGCCATGTCGATCGAAGGACAAACCCGTGGGAAAGGCGATTTGATTAGCTCCTTCTCCTCGACCATTTCCACCCACAATGACAGTGCCCTGTTTCGCTCCTTTAGGCCAACGCATCACTCGATCATTCGACGAATCCGCCACATAGATGGTATCCAATGTATCGAGGAATAATCCGGTAGGATAAGACAATTGTGTCAGAGCATTTCCTTCGCCTTGACCACCAGCGACGACAATTCCTTCTTTTGCACCTTTATCCCATTTCATCACACGGTGATTGTTATAGTCTGACACGTAGACAGTCTGTTGTCTGTCGACAAAGATGTAGGTCGGATAGTTGAGTTGATTAAGACCATCACCTTCGCCATGGCCGCCGGCTACAAGAGTTCCATACTTGTATTCTCCTCGATATCGTCTTACTTCATGTTTTTCGATGTCAGAGATGTAGAGATATCTCTGATCATCCATCGCCAATCCTGCACACCTGATGTTGTCGACGAAGGTTTCTCCTTGAGTGATGCCACTACGACGAGACCATCGTACGACTCGTCGAATGTTT